AATTTTCTGACAATTAGAACAATTAATCCGTGGCACAACTTGCCTCCAGAAGTTGTGAATGCTCCAACACTGGAAGTAAGAAGATGTTGGATAGCCATTTGTCTGAAATGGTATAGGGTTTCCTGTCTAGGCAGGGGGTTGGACTAGAAGATCTCCAAGGTCCCTTCCAACTTCGCTATTGTGTAAAAGTGCTGCTTTCCTCCTACTAGTGATTCATAATGATGAAATTAGTTCTTGGGCCTTCAAATGTTATTTTTCACTATTAAAAGATATGTTATATTTAGTGCTTCCAGGGATATGCAAATGTTCTGTGAGTTAATAAATAAGTGTTTTTGGCAATATAACTCCATTGGAATCTACAAGGATGCAGTGGTATGTTATGTTCCTATATCTTTATAGACAATTCTAGACTATATGGAGTTCTGATAGCTTCTTAAGCATTAGCTATTTATTCAACAAATCACTATTTTGGACTGCAGGAGGCAGTTACTAACCAACCTTGGCAGAATTGGAAAATCAAAGTACAAGTGGATTAGTTTAGTACTTAGATGAGAAAGCATCAGACAATCATAGGGCTTAGATCAGCTTGGAATTCTTAAAACATCCCTTAAATAGGCTTCATATTCTTGTTAAGAAAGGAAAAGAACATCTTATGTCACCTAAATTCACCAGCTTGACTTGAGATTCCCCTTTTATTTTTATAATATTTACTGTTTTCATTCATTAGTAGTCCTTTGATAATGTAAATGGATCCTAGCAATGATGATGTTACTCAGTTTGGGTAATGAGATATCTGCAAGAAATCAGTCAAGCTCAGAGAGCACTAAGGGCCCCTCTTTCAACCCTTAGCTACAAATATTACCATACTATTTGGAGTATAAGACGGCCCTTTTTCCCTCAAAAAAGAGGCTGAAAATCTGGATGCGTCTTATACACTGAATATAGCATTTTTTTGCTTCCTGAAATCCCGCCCCCAAAATGGTCATGCATAGTCTTTAGGAGGCTTATAGAGTGCTCCTGGGGGCTGGGGATGGCAGAAGTGAGCAAAAAATGGATGATTTTTTTTGCTCAATTTTGTCCCCCGAGCTCCCAGGACCACTCTATAAGCCCTCTAAAGGCTATGCATGGCCTTTTTTTTTGACAAAAATGGGCCCATTTTCACAAAAAAACTGGCTGTTTTTTGCTCATTTTGGGGGGCCCACCCTCCAGGAGCACTCTGCAAGCCTCTTAAAGGCTATTCATGCCCTTTTTTTGAAAACAAAAGGGCCTGTTTTCGTGAAAAAATGAGCCGTTCTGGGGAGATCTTTTTTTTTTTTATTTGCCTCTTCAAAATCTTGGTGCATCTTATACTCGGGTACGTCTTATACTCCAAAAAATGCGGTATCTTTTATTGGTGATCCAAACCTGTCCCCAAATGGTCTTTCTTTCCCTTTCCTGCTTTCCAGGTTTTGTTACCTGCTGCAGCAAGGCTTTGAAAGAAAGAGAGCGCAACCGCATTGTGAGAGCTTCTCCAGACTTCCCAAAAGTGAATCCCTGCAAAAGGTAAAGACAAAACGTTTAGCTTCTTATTTTTTAGAAAAGGACCATTATGATCTGAAGGAAGAATATCCATTAAATGAGCGGGTGGCAGTTTCAGGTATTTATTAATGCAGAACTTAACTACAAATTCAAGAAATAAAGGCAGAACCATATCAAAGATTAAGAGGGTGGGGAAATCACTAATTATAATAATGATTGTGTGTGATGGTGCAGTGGTTAGAATGGACAGGCTAACTCTGTCCACTGTCAGGAGTTCAATCCTGACAGGCTCAAGGTTGACTCAGCCTTCCATCCTTCCAAGGTCAGTAAAATGTGGACCCAGATTGTTGGGGGCAATAGGCCGACTTGGTAAACTGTTTAGAAAGGGCTGTAAAGGACTATGAAGCAGCATATAAGTCTAAATGCTATTGTTATCCCAAGGAACTGTCTGATGAAATTAGAATAAAAAGGTAAACAAAGAAGCACATTCAGTGTTGAGACTACCTGGATGCATATATTAAGATAGCCAAAGCAGCAAGAATAATATACATGTTATTTATGGGATTGCAATGATTTATGGGATTCCATCTAATAAAGCATAGCATCAAAAGTCCACGTCTTTAAATGGAAAGCCTTTTTCATGAGTAATTTTGTACTGTATACAATCCTCTCTTTCTTATAGGATGCTCCTTTGTGATAATTTCTTATTAAGTAGGTCTTACTTACCTGGATTATATAAGTTATTAAGCTGATCACTCCCAACACCAGAAACATGATAGAATATAGGACTGTCTTCTGACTTTTCTTTACATCATCTTGTTCTTGGAAAGCCTGAGTGGCAAGCATAGTTTTAATCACCAGCACAAGAAGCCATTGCAGTTAAACTTTCTGTTTAGTTCAAATTATGACAATTTCCTGCAAGTTAATTTTCCCAATTTTCCTGTATGTTACCATCAGCTATTCTGAACAGTAGACTATATTTTACATGAAGAATTTGAAACCAATTTTAATTCAATGACCACTAATCTTTAATTCAGATTATAAGAAATAACCGTTAGATAGCAGCAGTGTGATATAAAAAAGTTGACCTCTTTACCACTGTCTAGTGATTGCATGGAGTTTTGCAAGCCACATTGATAGCTCCAGTGGTGGGTTGCTCTTACCATCGCTACAAGTACACTGATCACGGTCTGCTCGTGCATGCACTGCTTGTGCGCTATGAATGCACCTGATGTGCACTGTGCACACATGTGCAATCCACCTCACCTGCGACAACCAGTTGCTTGTTGGGGTTTGTGCAGGGACTGCATGCCTTTGTAATTACAATGGGTTTTAATAAAAGGATCCATGCTGTTTTGTCCCATACTTGCACATTTCAAAGTGGTGGTGGGCAAGAGCGTATCACCGAAGATCATATGCAGTGACCACCAGTGGCCAACAACAAAAAAAAAAGATTTTTTTGGGGGGGAACAAGAAGCCGAGGAGTTCTTTGTTGTGTTTTCCACAAGGGACGACACTCTCCCTCTCTGTCCCTCTCCCTCTCTCTTCCTCCCTCTCTCCCTCTCTCCCCTTTTCTTTTCATCTCTTCCTTGCACATGCAAGCAAAATAATTTTCTGGGCCTGGATCACAGTGGCAGGGACAGCCATTCCTTCCGCTGCCACCACTGAGATGTGGCTGTGCTGCGGAGAAGAGCCACGCTGTGCAGGAGACTCCTTAACACTAGACTCAGGTGAGCTGCAGTCCCATTCCCCTCCTTCCTGAGCCAACATGAAGGGGACTGCAGCTCGCCCTGACCTGAGTCTAGCGCTGAGGAGTCTCCTGCACAGCGTGGCTCTTCTCCACAGTGCAGCAGAAGGAGTTGCTGTCCCCGCCACTGTGATCCTGGGGTATTTTGCTTGCATGCGCAAGAAAGAGATGAAAGAGAAAAGGGGAGAAAGAGAGAGAGAGAGAAATGAAAGAGAGCTGGAAGGAGAGAATGGAAGAGAGGGTAAAGAGAGGGAAACAAATTAGAGAGAGAAGGGGGAGAGGGAGAGAGAAATGAAAGAGAGCTCAAGGGAGAGAATGAAAGAGAAAGAAAAGAGAGGGAAACAAATCAGCGCTAAAGCCACCCCTGTCCTCCCTCCCTTCCTCTCCACAACCTTCCCCCGAAAGCTTTTTCCCACATAATACCAGCAGCCATTTCATCTCCACCAAAGTAGATATACACACACACACATGCGCGCCACTCACACACACACCAAACAATAAAATAAAATAAAATAAAAAATGGCAGAAATGGAGAAAGAAGCGAGACCTCCAGAAAATAAAAGAAGCAGGAAGCTGGCTGAAAAAAGGGAAATCAATGAAGAGATGAAAGTACATCTCTGTACTCCCCCTTTATTATCACTGTATTGCAAGCGAGAAGGGAAGAAAAAGGGAAGAAGGGTAGCATTGAGTTACAGGAAGAACAGCGCCCTTTACTATGAGACAGAAGAACTGTGTGCCTCACCTACTTTTAACCTTGCTTAACTCTCCTCGAGCGATCATAAAACACCTTAGAAGTCAGACTAGACTAGATGAGGCACACAGTTCTCCTGCCTCATATTAGAGGGCGCTTTTTAGAGACTTTTTTAAACAGCTAGGCAGTCATTCACAGTGAGGCACAGTTAGCTAGCCTCACCTCAGCACTCTCCTTTTTCCTTTTACATTTTTTCACCTTTTCATGATGACAGTGGTGAGGCTATGTCTCCCCTGCCTCCCCTGACTGCACGTCACTGGTGAATAAAATAGTTCAATCAATTCTATTTTTAATTTATATCTCCTTTCCCATGAAAAATAATGTTCAGTGTGAGAAATAAAATACTGATATATAATTTTTTGGCTGAACCAGATTAATGTTTTTGTTTCTTATGTAGAGAAAGCACTCTATCATTGGGAGATCCTGATGAGAAGATCAGAGGTTTCCCCAAGATATGCTGAACAAGATGGCAGCTGAGAAGTGTAATTAACGCCTATTTTTATATGTGGATCTTCAATTGCACTGTCTAGGTTACCATCTTGACTTTTTTTCATCATTTCCTGCGATACCCCGGATCTTTTCCATAGACACGAGTGCTCTAAAGCAGTGGCCTCCAACTTTGGCAACTTTAAGACCTCTGGACTTCAACTCCCAGAGTTCCTCAGCCAGCAAAGATGGCTGAGGAACTCTGGGAATTGAAGTCCACAGGCCTTAAAGTTGCCAAGGTTGAAGACCACTGCTCTGAAGTTTCAAGAAAGGACACTTGACCAAAGGATTGTTCTAGACCTCACTTTAATTTTGAAGAAAAGATTATTTTATTATTTAGATTTAAAGTTGAAATGTATTTAAACATATTGAAACTGGGCTGGAATTGTGGAGTATTATTAAAGCTAATCAAGTATCATCAACTTGGCAAACTGCCATTCATTCATCTTATAGTGCATGGGCAATACTCCCCCTCCCCCAAGACTGCATTTACAGAAGAATAATCTACAAGTAATCCTCAAGTTATAACCAGAATTGGATTCTGGAACTTCACAGTCGTTGTGATTTCCATCCAAATTATGATCTTTTTTATTGTAGTTTTTAAGCAAATCACATAATTGTTAAGTGAATCTGGCTTTCCTAATTGATTTTGCTTGTTGAAAACCCCCTATATCCAAGTGCCTGAATCACAATCACATGATGTGTGAGGAATGATTGCAAGTCACTTTTTTCAGCACTATCATAACTTTGAATGGTTGCTAAACAAATGGTTATAAATCAAGGACTACCTGGGGCAGATGTATTCTGCAGGGTCAAATTAAAAGGAAGTGGGAATTCCATTCTTGTTCTCTCTTTCTATATATTTCCCTTTCTTCTCTCTCTTTCTCAGCTTCCTTGCCAGTGGCTTCCTTGCCAATGGCTTTTGAAATGAGTTATGTAAGGCATTTTATTGTTCTATTAGAATTCAATTTATATATCTGTTTGTATGATGACTATATCAGAATAAAATTCAAAATGCAAACCAGAAAAAACAAGAGAGAGTACAGTAATATTATGTTCTGGGATACTCTCTCCTGTTTTATATCATCTTGGAGGATAATTCAATCACATGGATTAAGATTATTAATTTCATTTGGGAGGAATGATTTAGAATGTATTTTTTTGAAAGATAGTGGAACTGGGATGATGAGAAAATTCAAATGCCATTGGTAAAGCCTTACCAAAAAAAGAAAGAAATAGAAGCATTGAATGGTTCTAAACATACCCCAATAATTTTACCAAACAGAACTGCAAAGGCAGGAGTAACACCTCCACCAATGGCAGCAGCAACGATCCCAATTGCTATGTAGCAGAATTCAGGCTTATTCAGAGCCAGGATCCTGGTGTAGGGAACATCTGGGAGAGTCTCTTTCTGTAAAGAGAGAAAATTCCCCTTATCACCAACAAAATTACAGCATTGAAAGGAAACCGACGTCTGTGTTCAAGCCCAGTCATTTTTATGATCTCAGACAATGAATACAAGTGTTAAAAAAAGAACAAAAACTCAATTTATATCAAAATCTGTCCACAAAGGTCACTAAAAGTAAGAGAAAGCCCTTATGAATGGCAACATTTCTGCATGAATCGTTCTTTTGTGCTACTAATCTGTATGGCTTAGAACAGTGATGGCTAACCTTTTTGTTGTTGTGACAGCATCTATGGACACCTGCACTCAGAATGCAATGTATGTACGCTCCCTCCCCATGTCCCATTCCTTTCACATGTGTGTGTAGCCCCCCTGGTGCCTGGTGCGCCAGTTGCGGCCCTGTTTAGGATAACCCGGTCCCTCCTAAATGGGAGGGATACGGGGGACCCCTTGCAGGGTAGGGCTGAAGACTTTGTCCAGTTCTTAGCGGACAAAGTTGCTCGGTTTCGGTCAGATTTGGACTCCACTTCTGCAGATCCAGCCGAGGCACAGGTGGATAATTCGGTAGACCATCGCTGGGTTGAGTTTCAGGATGTTGCCCCAGGGATCGTGGGCAAGGCCATGAGAGCTGTGAGTGCCTCCACCTGTGTACTGGACCCGTGCCCCTCCTGGGTGGTTGCCAACAACGGAGAGGTGGCACGGGGCTGG